CTCTTGCTCAGGCTGGTCTCGAACTCCTGAGCTCAAACAATCCTCCCGCCTCGGCCTCCCAGAGTGCTAGGATTACAGGCATGAGCCACTGCGCCCGGCCCCAGAGGTTTTTTTTAAAAAGTGTTTCATGCTTGAGTAACATTTGTCAGTTGTATATTTAGAAATTATGGCTATTTGTGTTTGGGAGTGTATATACGTGTATTTATCATGAATTCTATGCTATGATTCTGTTTAGTATCCACTGTTGTTCAAAATGTACCACATCAGACACTGATCTGGTTCAGAGTTGTTGTGTTCCCTCTTCTATGTCTTGTCCTCTGACCGGGGACTGTTCATCACTCCTATTCAAGGTAAAGAAACTGCTGCAATGAAAGCTGATCTCCTGAGGGCCAGGAATATGAAAAGGTACATTAACCAACTGACTGTGGCAAAGAAGCAGTGTGAGAAGAGAATCAGGACCCTGGGAGGCCCTGCCTATGACCAGCAAGAGGAGGGGACCTTGGATGAGGGGGAAGGGCCTCAAAGCCAGAAGGTAGAAGTTTGTAGTTTCTTGTTTTGACCATCTCAAGTTTATTGTAAACACCAATATAACCACATATACAGTCTTTTAACTTTTAGTATTTAACTTAAGACACCCATTCCATAACTACAGACTTACATATTTGGTTTTGAGTCAAAGAGCTGCACCACTTGGTGTCCTTGACTTCTTTGAACGGTAGGTAATAGGTGTGGTAGGTAGGCGTGGGGTGTGTGTGCATGCGTATATGTGTATGTGTATTTTTCTGTTTCCACTTTGTCCTCCCCCAATCCCAGAAGAGCATATTTATATTTACAGGAATCCAATCAATTACTCATTATCAATTGGATAAAAATAACCACCTATGAAGTAGTGAGCATCTTAGAAGTTATTTTACTTGACTCTTGCCACAATGCTATGAAACATACTTGGCTTTTTCCTATCTATGTGGCCTTAGGCAAGTTACTTAAATGTACTGTTTCATTACCTGAAAAATGAGGCAGAACTAGATAAAAAAAAAAAAGCAGATATGGTTTTTTTCACAAATCTGACTGCTTTCTCACTAAACCATGATATTTCAATGACTGTTTTTGTACAACAAAACTTTGGATTGTCTGTTGATACCAAGTCCTTAAATCATGGAGCTGAGGAAAGTGTTCTAGCCCTACTTTAGGCCCTGTCCTAACTCTAAATGGCCAAGCTTGTCTTCCAAGACCTTGAGCATACTAGGATGGAAGGAAACAGCCACAGCATCCCATGAGGAGCTTAGCTGTACCCTGGGAACAGGACCTCAAGGCGAATGCCAGACTTCTCTTTTCATAATGTGTCATTTAGTCACAGAGAAGCCACCATCAGTATATTAGTAATTTAACCCTGGCTACAGCCTCTAACCTCACCCATTCTGATTTTTAGTGTCCTGATCTTCTCCTGTTCTACCCTCAGTTTGAGTTCGGCTGCTTCTCCGTGACTTTCCCCTGCCTTCCTGTTCCAGTGATGAGCCTTTGCCTTCTTACTTGTTTCTCCCTTAGTCTTCATCAGAGCTTCTTCAGGAAGGTCTTTGCCCCATCTTTGGACCAACCCCAGCACAGGCCAGAGTTCTGCAACATCTTACACAGTGGTGCAAATGCAGCTCCAAGGAACTCTTGCCTTATGGAAGGGTCCCCTAACCACTGGAGGTCTGTTTATTTTTCTGTCAGTAAATACACCTTTCTGAGAGTTTGGCTTTGTGGTCCAAAGTAGAAACTTCACATTTTGGTGAACTTTAGAGAGAGAGAGTAGATTTGCCGGGTTGAATCCTGCCTCTCTTTCCTCTCCTCCTCAGCTTTTGGCTTCTTAAGTAAATTTCTAGCCACATTTCTCATAGATGAGGTCTTTGTCTTATGTCCTGTTCATTCATTCATTTGTTCATTCATCATTCAGCAGACATTTGTTGAGGGCCCACAATCCCTTACTTATGGTGCTAGGTACTAAGATATAAAATGAATAATCCCTGTTCTTGAAGATTCCCATATAATTATAAAAAGGTAAGTGATCCAGTAGAGATATGAGATAAATACCTAGCAGAGCTACCTAGTCAAAAGATGATATACTTTTAGATGTTATGGTATAGGAAAACCTCGAGAAAGATAAAGGAGGCTCATTTTAGAAGAATAGAATGTGATTTCAAAAGAGGTTATCTGGCAGTGTCTACTAGAAGTGGACTTAATCCAGGGCCAGCTCCATTTCTGATTTGTACTTCTCAGATATTCAGGAAAGGAAACTCATTTCTTTTGAGCAGTTTACCCTCAGAATAAAACCATTTCCTCTAGTCTTCAGACTGGAAGGCTCAGATAATGTTGCAGAATTCCGATATTTATGGTGGTTTGCTATTCTAAAGGTAAGACTCATTAGTTTGGGGCCATTCTGATATCTTCGTAAGTGGGAGGAACATTTTTGCTATGACCTAGTCATATCACATCCAGAGGAATTACCACTAACTTTATTTCAGAACCTTGATTTCCAAATTAGATGAGTCCTCCAATTAAAAGAGATTGTCAGAGTGAATTTGTTTAAAAAAGGCAAGACTGACTTACATGTTGCTTATAAGAAACTAAACATAAAGACACACGTAGGTTGAAAGTAAGAGGGAAAAAGACATGCCATGCAAATACTAGGCATAAGAAATCTAAAGTAGCTAATATTAATGCCAGACAAAGTAGGCTTTAGAACAGGGAATATAACCAGAAGTGAAGACATTTCATTATGATAAAGGAGTCAATTCATCAAGAAGACATGATAATCCTAAATATGTTTGCCATCAGTAAGAGACTTTTAATATACATGACACAAAACCTGACAGAAGTGAAAGGAGAAAAAGGTTTTCCTGTACCACAATTATAGTTGGAGATAATAACACCCCTCTCTCGGTAATTGATAGAACAGATAATCACAAAATCAGTAAGAATGTAGAAGATTTGAACAACACTAACAACCAACTGGAACATATGGACATTTATAGAACACTTGACCTAACAATAGCAGAATGTACATTTTTCTCAACTGTACATTGAACGTTGACCAAGAAAAACTGTATTACTGGGTGATAAAACAAGGTCTAACAAATTTAGAAGGATTAAAACTGTACAAGTGTCTTTTTGATACCTGTATCTAAATTTTTGTCACGGTACAATTCACAATCACAAAGATGTGGAATCAACCTAAGTGCCCATCAATTCATGAGTGGGTAAAGAAAATGTGGTGTATATATACCAAGGAGTACTACTCAGCTGTAAAAAGGAACAAAATAATGTCATTTGCAGCAACTTGGATGGAACTGGAGAACATTATCCTAAGTGAAGTATCTCAGGAATGGAAAAACAAACACCACATGTTCCCACTAATAAATGGGAGCTAAACAGTGGTACACATGGTCACACAAGGGTGTAAAGGACATTGGAAACTAAGAAGGGGAGAGGGTGGAAGGAGGGTGATGGATAAAAACTTACCTGTTGGGGCCAGGCACGGTGGCTCACACCTGTAATCCTAGCACTCTGGGAGGCCGAGGTGGGAGGATCGCTCGAGGTCAGGAGCTCGAGACC